CCCCTACCCCTTCTTTTTTGTGGGGGGGGGGGAGGGGCATAAGGAGTCCGGAGTTGAGCCGGGCGGGTCCGGCGTGGCGTGGCGTGGCGTGGCGGGTCCGCTACCCGACTGGCGTGCGCGTATACGGCCGGAGCCCGCCCGCAGCCCGGAGTCCTCTGGGGCCCAAACACATCACGAGGGAGGGGGGGGGGGGGGACACACCAAAGCTGCAGCAGGATGCGGGGCTGGCCTGCGGCCGCTGACCGCACCACCACCACCACCTCCTCGGCCCGTACGTTGCGGCAGTTGCGGTCCGGGAGGTTTAAACAGTGACGTCACGCGGAGCTCAAGGCACAGGGCGCGGCCGCGACAGCCAGCCCAGGGTCATCGACTACTAAAAGAACCGAATCGGCGAGCTGGAGGTGGTGTGGCAGCACCCAACACCCTTCGCCTGGAATATCTATGCTGGGGATGCGACACAGCACAGCAGTGTTTGCGAGTTTGCCTTACCCTAGGTGGCTACGGCGCTACTCGCTTGAAGGCAAAACCCGCGTTAGCAGTACAGTGTATACCCCTGACGCACAATGTTGCGAAGTAATTTTGGGACTCTGCACCAACTTCAAGCAAAAACAGGTGCAGTTGCACAAGGGGCAATGGCACCGGTCAGCCCTGAGAAGCCGCCTGGAAGGTAGGCAATTCACTGGCCATAACCCCTATAGATGTAGGCAACCCACAGCGGACCTAAAACCCCCCCGCCTGCCGCGAAAACAGCCAACCTCCCGACCACCGCAAACATCACCCACCCTCCCTCCCTCCGAGTGTCTTCAGGGTGAGCCGGGCACTCGTTTGTAACCGAACTCGCGCAACGAACGCAACGGCTGCCGCGGGCGAGGCGAGGCGACCGAGGCGACGCGGACGTCCTTCCCCGCGCGGGAGGCGGCGGTTAGCCGGCGCGCCGCCTCCAAGGAGCGGCAGGAGACGCAGTGTAGAGGGGAGGGGGAGCTCAGCCCAGCGCGATGGGGGAGCGTGCTGAGCTGAGCCGCAGCGGCGACAACGTCTTCCACACCAATTCCGAAGGGATCATCCTGCACCGAGACCTCCGATAAAAACGCCGCAACAGGGGATTTGTGTAGAAATCCCTCCTATGCCAAGAGGGATCCACCAACACCGCCCTGAGCGTGGGCGTTCTCATCGTCGCAAGATTGCCGTCCAAAAAAACAAAAAAAAACAAAATTCTCGAATATTTGCCATTTTGAAAAGACGCTGTAAAAGAAATATTAGAGGTGTTTGAGAAATGAGCTCTGTGCAAGAAGAGGTCATTAAATTTTGACGCTGCCATAC